AACGGTTATAACACGTGTTTCAAAATTCAGATTAAACCGAACTCGGTGGCTCTGGAAAGCTAAGACTCGGGGCTTTCGAATGATATCTAGATCGTCTTCTGGGTCCTTACAGAAAACAGCCCGCAAGTTTGTTGTTCGGAAATCAGAAACAGGATCGAAAATCTGTTCTGAAAACTAGACAGAGAGAGCTTTCCATAGATAGCCGGATCGTCTCCTAAGTCCTTCTGGTTCGACGAGAATCCTCCCTCGAAATGGACTGATCGCAAACCCAAAACCTAGAAGTTTCGCTCCAATCCGATCCGATCTTCCCAGCCGTTCATCTCCCCTTCTAAAATCAGACATAATTGTTTTCAAAGCAACAATCTCTTCTTCTCTCTCACACCCTACGAAATCCTCTCCTTTTTCTCTCCAAAATCAGCTGCAAAAACGTCTCCATGCGTTTTTATATCATGCCCTAGGGTTCCCTAAACCGGACGCCAAACCAAGCGATCGAGAACCAAACTTGTCGGTTCGATTTCAACTTGCGTCGATCGACGCAAATCACTTGTGTCGATCGACGCAACACCCAGAACCCGACTCCTCGCGAGTCCAACCACGTGTGTCGATCGACACACACACATTATGTCGATCGACGCACCAACTAAAAATACACATTTTGGTTCACAGGCGTTACACGCGCGTCCCTCGTCGACCACCTTCAGCTATCTAGAATCTAAAAAGAGGTTATCTTCACGCAAGAGAAAAATTGAAAATGAAATCCACTGCATCTCTTAAAACTCAAACCCAAAGCCCTAGAACTCCAACAGAAACTAGATACCTCCACAATGAAATACAATCCACAAGACGAACCTAGACAAAGAAACAAAGATCAACACAAAGCCTAGAAACCAAAGAGGAAAACACAAAGTAGAAGAGCTAGGGTTTATCCTTAATCCCAATCATAAATAACCAAACCCAAATCATAGCTAAAGGCAAAAGGCAACTAATTGGAACACATCCTATGTATATTAATCAAGGAGACATTAGAAATTAAAATTCTGTGTCGTTTAAATCCAATATATTAATTGAGGAGATATTAGAGACAAAATTCTAAAGTGTCGTTCAATGAACATTTAAGGGAACACATCAGTCTCTTAATTTAACGAATCATAATATTTCAGTTAAAACTATATACCATGGTGAAAATCTCTACATATTCTCATTAATTTTATAACATAAGCTCATTAATACATTGTTTACAAATTTAAGCCAAAATAAATATAACATTTTAGACTTACCATATCATCTTTCTTTTTTTATATATTAACAAGGTTTT